CCTCCAAGGCAAGTGACCAAATTTCAGCTCATCAGTTTAATATGAAGTCAATTTAATTCTGCTTGACCAAAAATCAGTGCCTATTGTTCCAAAACATGCAATCACCTCACAGTATATTGCAATTGCTGGTTAAGTGGTTTAGTGTTATTGATAAGAGCCCACTCTGATGAGAACAAAGAGGACTGCCAGAATCCCTTACGAAAAATAAGAAAAAGCTATTTTGCACACAACTTTCAGAAATGGTTTCCAACACACGAGAGCAGAGACTGCCTGTGGATGGGCTGTCATAATCAAATCCATAGAAACAGATGAGAAATAAGCATATTATTATTGATTTACTATCACTTCATTTATGGTTTTCAGTTAATACAGATCCACAAAGCCATGCCAAAGAGATGCTAAAGGCCTGATTGTACTATCCTAATTCAAGCAAAACCCATACTCAAAGTCCTTTTGAAGCCTTTCCGCTTCTGCCAGCTCTTGCAATTTTTATTGCAAGCCTTGCAGTACTGTATGTTTTGCTTAACATTCCAGCTCCTGGAGTTATACATGTGAATCTCCTTTATTTTCAATTTTAAAAGAAATTTATCGATTGGATAGAAAAACTTGCAAATGAGACTTTTAAAAAGTGTCAAAAATAAAAAAGAACTTCACTGTATCATTTTGCTGAATAACTTCATAAAGAGGATGGTATTAAACCAAATTCATGATTTCTGAACCCCAGTGCATCTTTGTGGCTTACCAAAAGTTAGTAACACAGAGCTGCATATTCTTATTGAACAGGAGTCCTGTTCTTGTAACACTTAAGGTTGGGGATTTCTTTTCATGCTTGTAAAGGCATGCAAAATTTTGAGCCTCCTGCTGTCCAGTGCGAGTAGAGCAAAAAACCTCTCCCACAATCCTCAGCTCCCGTGCTGGTGGCCATGGGTTCCCACAAATGTCAATGGCAAAGAGAGAAGCAAAGTAGAGAAAACCTCTCATTGCCCACTCAATTGCTGCAGTCCTTAAATTGGCTGCTCCAGAGACTACTGTAAACTATGTGGTGATCCTACAGTACAGCTATACCTCAGGGCCTGCTATCCAAAAGCCTGGATCAAAAACCAGGCAGTAAACTCTCCCTTCCACAATGGCTGCAAATCTTCACGTTGCTTGTTAACACTGAAACAGCGCAACACTCTCTTTATTTCTCTTTTCCTCCCACCTCCTAATTTCCTTTTTTTATTCCTCCTTACCTGATACCTTTTGTTTATTCTGTAAGATATTTGAGGCAGGGGCTGTCACTTTCTGTGTGTTTATGCAGTGCTTTGCATGAAGGCTGACAGCTCTAGTTGCCTTTATAATCAAAGGGGGGGGGGATTTTTACGGAGTTGAGGAAAATGAGGCATTCACCTACTATTGACATTCAATAGGCTTTGAGTACCTTTCTCCCCTTTGAAAAAATCTACATTTACAAGTGTAATAATTAGGATGTCTGTCATCATCAAAACATCCATTGTTAAAATATGACACAGCCTCCAAGTAGGGAAAACCTTAATTTAGAGCAGTTACTAACAAAAAGCTTTTTTTTTTCTGAAGCATTAAGACCTCATTTGTCTAAAATCATGCACAACCATATGTAATGTACTTTCTGAAAGTATCATGTCTGTCTTGTATCATATATTGCCTTAGATATCTGCTGAAAAGCACACACTCCATCAATTTAAGCACTAACATTGTAGGTTTTCTAAAAGAACATTTCCTATAAATAGAGATTTAAATGATCTTCTTTAAGTATTGTAATCTTTAATTGAATTCAATACCTCTGCAAATGGAGCAAACAACCTCTGACTGATTAGATCATTTGCTTCTATTCTATTTCAGACATGCACTGGTTTGCAGTAATGTAAGGTTTTTTCATTAGCAATTGCTGTTCAGCTGCATATTTTCTTCAGTAACCTAATTAATGCTAGAAAGGTAACTTTTCTTCTTGTGCATTGCAATATGTCAATACAGTTGACACTCTTGCAGAGATTATATAGTAAAAAAATCATAAAAACCCCCATAAAGGACAAAAATGAAAGGGAATGAAGAAATCAGAAGTAGATTTTCTATGAAACAGCGAGTGCCTTCATCTCCCAGTGACATCAAGATGGGAAGTGATTACTCAGCACCCTGCAGGACAGACCTGTGGGAGCCCTGTGGGTCACTAGCACAGAAATTATTACATGCAGCTAGAATAAGAAAACAGGTATTAATTAAGAGAAGAACTTATGTCCTTAATTTGATTCAGTAGCTTCCTAGGTCTGAGTTTGTTGCATGAATAACATAGCATCATGCAGACAAATTTCAGCTCTGACTTTGGGATGTTATCAATCTCTTTAAATCAAATCACAGGCCTGATTGCAAACTGCGTTCCAGTGCAGTCTCTGACTAATTAAGTGTATAGTTGTAATGACAACACAGATCCTACCAGGCAGGATGTTTAGATATAGCTGAAGTAAACCACTGTGTATTATTAATGGCAAGAAGGACTCAGTTATACACTCAGGATGCCATACGCTGTAGTGACATTAACATTGAATGCTTTCCTCAGAAACGTTGATTTCAGGCTCTCAGATGCAGAGTTTCGAATGGGCTGCATCAAGTACTTGCACCAGCCAGGCTAACATGTGAGAAGGGTTGATTGAAAACTTCACCCTCAGAACATGTTTCGCAAGATGCCATGCACCTCTCTATGCTCCTGGAGCCTGCCTGAAGCTCGAAATGGTGGGACATCAAAGAGCAAGTGCTCATGGTATTTTCGTGTAGCCATTTGAGCCAGGAGGGGATGAAGGAATGGCACAGTTGCACTAAGGTCACTCTGCACCAGTGGCAGTGAGGTGCTCTAAAAACATTGTGTAGATGCTCTGATAAAGTTGATAAGGTCCACACCTTATTTCAGGCACCACAGTCTAGAAACAGATCATCTTTGGAAGATAATTTTGCCTAATTGTTTCCCCTGTTCACAAAAAATTACATCTCACCACAGTTGTTAGCTTAAGAAACTTTTTTCTTCCCCAAATATGGAACACCTCAAAAAGAAAAAAAATCTTACTGGCTAAACATCTGAACAAGTGTGTAAGTCATACTGGGGAATATCCTTGGAAACTGAGGCCAACTGGCAAAGTAACTGTATCAACAAACTCCCATTGCCCACAAATCATACAAGGTGTCAACGGGGAATGGTCCCTGTGTTGTTCTTCCTCCCAAATTGTGCCTTGGCGTTACCTGAAAGAGTGGCAGATGCCAAAAGCATGCTGGGAAATATTAGAACAGTTTAACTTAGTTTAATTTTAATTTAGTAACATTAATTTAGCCCAAATTCTTCCATGTTGTGAGGATGTCCTACACTTTTAGATGCATCTCTTCCTTGGTGTAAATTTGATGAAGTCTTAGATTTCATTGCTGCAAAATACTGAGATTGGACTAGTTGGATAATTAAGTGGGAAATACTATTTAAAACAGAATTAATACCAAAGAAAATTTATTGCCCATTTAATAAAAACATTGTAGCTTACTACAATAACCATTAAAACAACTGTAACCTACGGTCTACAATGGATGACATTTTTTGGAGACAGCTGGTTCCATATGACGTAGTCGGGTTTTAATTGTCTTCCCCTCTTTTTTTTTTCCTTTGGATTCTCATGCACTTTACATAAACAAGGAAAATGCATAAAACCTGTGTTTGTTTGAAAATACAAGTCAAAATGTTTTTTTAAAAGTTCACTTTTAAGTTAAATGTTCTGCTTCAGTTTATAAAATGACAATCTTAACTTTTACTTCACTGTAGTTTTCAGTCCATAGTATAAAGCATACAAAAATACTACAGACAGAAAAGCTGAAGTGTCAAGTTTGATGCCCTGATCAAATTCAAACTGTGAGTTGAGGTTTTACACAGAAAAACAGGCAAATTGACCTCAGCCTCCCAGTCTAATCAGCGTGTTCTCCTCCATTCTTGAGAAAATTAACCTCATTCATCACATCGTGCTCCTGTTCCTCCCTACAGCTTGTGACACTTTCTTTGCTCCTTGTCCTATTTCTGGATCTCAGAGCATAGCTGTCATGGCTTGATGGCACAATGAGCACACAAGCAAGCATGTGAACCAAGTGAACATAGGAAAAGATTTTAGCAGTGTACTTTTTTTTTTTTTTTTTTTTTGAGACAGAATAGATATAAAAGAACCTGGTATGTTTTAGGTTTTTAAAGCACAAAGTCAGAATGCTATTACTCAGGGTATCCACAAGATGAAGGTACTTAATTCACTCACCTGCTTTCCCCTCTTCTTTTCCCAATAATTAAATTCCCCCACATATTATACAGAGATCCTGACAAAACCTGAAAGCTACTAAGTATATCACTAAATTCATGAGATGCAAATAACCTCAACAAACAGTAAACAACAGCCTCTGACTTGGAGCCTGAGTCTTCCAGAGTGCTCTTAATTCCTTCTGCTGCCACTGCCTCTTATGAGGAATTCTGCCCGAGATGATTAATCGTGGGACTAGAAAAATTCCCTCTTTTCCAGCCTCTTGCAACTTACTGTCTTCACACCTCCTTCCTGTTCCCTCTTCAAATTGGGTCTCTTTTCTCTGTCTCACAGATAAAGTCACCACTTCATTATCTCTAATTCCAGACAACTTGCATTCCTACACTGAAAACAATCAATATAAGCCCTCAAAGGAAGAAAGAGTTCTTAAAAATATGCACCACTGTGAAGATGTATGACAGGGCAATAAAACTCATCACAAGAAAAATCTGAACTGGTAAGTTTACCTAATTTAGAAGAACAACAAAGTCCTTACTTTCCTTCTAAATGCTGATCAACACTGCATCCACAAGCCACATACGGTACAGAACTTTTATCTGTAATTCATGCATTTCTTCAACAGGAACAATTTAATCTGCAGAGTGAATGTGATATAGGGAGCCACACTCAAAGACAGGAAAATATTTGCAAAAGGTGAGGAAGCCGACTAACCTGACCAATAGGTTCTTTTGTCGGGGCCTTTCCTCTTCTAGCGGTGCTCGTGGCCAAAGTGGTGGTTGTTTCCATGACTGATGTGGACATCTCAGACTGCATTGCTGTGGCTGTGGACTCAGTTGTCATAGAGGAAGGCACTTCACCAACAAGTCTCACATTTCCTTCTATCACGATGTTGGCATCATTTTCTGCTGCCATATTCAGAACTTTCAAGCCATTGTAGTAAAGACCAGAGAGCTGGCCTTGGAAAGGGTGGCCACGTTCTTTGCCTCCAATTTTTATGGTTGCTTGGCTATTGAAGATTGTGAGCTGACGCCCTGTGAAGATAATATTATATACATGCAAAAATGTTGACTGTGAACACTATACTCTACATGAGTGATAACAGATCGTCATGGAGTGAAAAATGAGAGCAATAAACTATAAGAAAAGGATTTGACTCATAATTCATTGCTTTTTAATGAGGTGTCCATGAAATGCATAAATTTTGAGAGCATTTGCATTTTTCTTAATTTATGACGCTTTGGGAATTTTTTTTTTTTTTTTGCTAAAAGGCCAATCAAATTTATCTGCAAATGTGTTTAGTACTCCAAATGATACCCCTCTCCCTTTTACCTGAAAGCAGTGTTAAGCTTTTTGGTGTGTCAAGAATGCCAGGTTTCTAATTGCTTTAGATTACTCTTTCTTCAAGTCTGCCAATATTTCAAAGTTTTTTCCACACAATATAGCATAGGGCCTATAGTTTTAAGTATGTACGTGTGAGTTTTATGTATGTATAGACATATACAAATATGTATATACACACAGAGAGAGTTTATATATGTGCCAATAAGGTCGAGTGAATTTTGAAGAATATGTTCTGCAGTATTCTGTCATATCTCTATATAAGTGAATAAATATTTACATTTTTAATTAAATGTTTCCTTTTTGTATTTAAATGTTTATTTTCCTTCAACATACACACTGAAAAGAAACACATGGTTCACACTGAGTATCTCAGAGGCAGATTCAAAAATAGATGTCTGATTGGCTTTCAGCAAGGCCACTAATTAAAATAAAAGATTTTAGATGCAAAAGCGGCTTCAGAAATGATACACATACCGATGGAGAAATCATGGCACATTTCCATTAAACAGAGAAATCCTCAGCAACAGTACCACTCTTAGTAAATAGTCACTTTAGCAGATTGGTTTCTGCTCACAAAAAGCATGCACACAACTTTAAGTTCTGTTTTAATTAGTGTTTGTTCCAAAATCCCCTTAGAAGGTTGCAAACGTTAAAGGGACTTCATTTTGATTGGCAATTCATATTGCCCACTATTTAAGATACCTACAGTTTAAACAAATTTTTTTTCAGGACCATAATGAAGATATCATAACTACATATATTTTTAGTTAATAATTTAGATGCTGGAACATGTCATATAATCTATGAATAATTTATAATTTTTGGTTAATGTTTGCTGTGAGTACCTTCATAGATTGAGTTAGTGGATTATATTTAACAGTCCCTTTAACCTTAAGTTAACAGGGTAAGATTATTAAACAGCTGGTACTTCTAGAAATGTATAGAAATTATTATACAAGGTATGCAAATATTACTCTATATTTTACTTTTTAAAATTTGTTTTTAATTTAGTTTTACTGAAATTTATTTTTTATGTTTATTAGTGTTACAATGAAGTACTACTTGGTTATGTTCAAATTATTTTTTTATTTGAAGTTTTAATCAATGTTTTTTACCTTTGTCGAGTAGCCATTCATCAACTACTCGACCAAGTCGATATGGAATTCGCTGTCTAGCAATCGCCAGGCGCTCGTTATCATTGTTTCCTTTAAAGTTTAAAGAGACATTTCATTGGTTAAAATCTGTAAGGTCAAAGGTTAAAAGTTAATACTTAAAGCTTGAGCTATACAGTTGCCACATGATGTTTTGAAATTTGGAATTTTAAAAAGTGCTACCTAGAACATTTCATGGTTCAGACTTTTCATTCATTCATTTATTTTATTTTAGCAAACAAAATTATTCCTATGTTAATTGAAAATTAGAAATCTGCATTTGAGCTAGGTTATTAAACTTATGTTATAGACAGACCCAAAAAACAAATTTAAACATCATCGAATGGCTTTACAAAAAATGATCGTTGACCTCAGGGTTTTGTCTTTTTTTGATGTTTCTTATTAACTAGTTAAACATGTTCAGGTGAAACAGGTTTAAGTTTTCAAAAGACATCCAACCTCTCACTCCAGGTTAGTCATTTAAAGAACACAACTCTTAATCACCATCTAAGTCACACTTACTTCTGCTGTCTAGTAACAGACCTGCTATAACTTATTTCCTACTCAGAAAAAAAAACCTTCTTCTTTGCTTCATTTAAATAAATTCCAGAGATTCAAATAGATGGTACAGAACAGACCAGGTATTCGCTGTTTGTACATTCTCATAGGACATGTTGACAATGTCTTGAAGGAACACCAAGGCTTTGACAAAAGTGACTTGCTGAAAGGTAGCCTGGTTCTGAAATGTGGAAGCACTTTAAAATTTAGCAAGAGGCCATTTGTAGTGGAGTTTCATAAGTCAAGAACTAACTAGAACTTAGCAATGCAAAAAACAAACTTGTGATATTTGAAAAATGTATCTATTCTCAGTCTGTGCAGAGATCCTTGACTTCTTTAAATAAAACAATGAGAGAAAATAAGGCTAGTACAGTCAGAAAAATATCAGACAATGAGGAATAATTAGCAAATAACTTCAAATATTTGTAATTATAGCTTTTTGTGTTTGAATGATATAGGTGTTATCCCTCAGAAAACCATGTCTTCTACTTAAAACTTTTTTTAGGAGAATGGTAAACCTAAATATTTCCTTCAATGTATAGGTTTTTTGTGGCAGTAGTATTTTAGACCAACAATACCTTTTTCTTCCATTGTATTGGTTCATATTAGTAAAGAACCTGAGAGATGAGAAGAGCCAGATGAGTAAAAAGCAGTCATTCCTAATTCAGGTTTGAACCCAATGTCGATCTTACTAGCTCAGACATGCATACTGTCTTTGACTTCAAAACCCACCTGTATCTGCAGTAGAAACGTAGTACAGGATGCAGTAGCCCACATAGTGCTCAGAAATACATTTTATTGAGCTAGAAAGATCCTACTGCTAATTATCAAACCAAAGTATTACCCAAATCCAGAAAATCAATGTTCTAGTTTGTCAAACAATCATCCCCACTATCAGCATCACAAGATAACAGGCTTGCAAGGAAGAATCAGTACCATACCCCCCCGAAATACCAAAAGCAACAGCTTCTGTGCCAAAACACATTTATTTATGCAGGTACTTATTCTGCAGTGACATTAACTGCTACTTTCCATGTTTCATGTCTCCCTTATTTGGTTTAGCAAGGACATAGTTCACTATGCCAGAAATTGATCTATTTTCTTTTGAAAGGATATCCTTTTCATATTCACTTTCCAATATAGAATCATAGAATGGTTTGGGCTGGAAGGGACATTTGGAAATCATCTAGTTCCAACTCCCCTGCCATGGGCAGGGACACCTTCCACTAGATCAAGTCGCTCAAAGCCCCATCCAACCCAACCTTGAACACTGCCAGGGAGGGGCAGCCACGACTTCGCAGGACAACCACGGAAGTTGGTTCCACAACTTCTCTGGGAAAGTACACAATGTGATCTTCTATATACATATCAATATTTAAAAGTGCATGAGTGTATATATAAAAATATATACTTTTTTTCATATGCACATTCTGCCCTATTCTCAACTTTTAGGAATGTTCCCTGTAAAACAATATTTTCCCAAAACTTTCCCTTTTCAGCCTTTCCAAGAAACTGAAAATTTAGAATAAAAGGCTTCAGAACACAACTCTTGTGATGTTGTGAGAATACGGAATCTCTTAAAAAAAATTTCCTGTTACAATCTTTAAAATTACTTTAAAATCCTGGGCTCCTTCACTTAGAGTAAGCTTCCTGTGACTAAATGAAAATTTGAGAAGTACAGGAAAAATATGAGAAATGTCAAATGATCAACATGGGAACACAGATAAGTAGTGTGATCCTCCATGTTTCTGTTCTGGATTTGTATCTTCAGTTACATATATATACATATATATACCAATGAGTTAATTATTTATGTACCCTGACTGCCAACTACTTTTAACGCTTATATTTAGCTTTTCAGTAAGATGTTTCTAACGTTTTTATTGAGGCATTATCAGTTGATTCACTGAATATGTGAGAAAATGTCTTATTTCTAGAAGGTTTCCTTAAGTTTAAACAAAAGAATCATGATGTTTTGTTGCTGTTGGATTAGTTTTTTAGTTATCTATATTAAAAAAAAAAAGGGGCAAGCGGGCGTGATTCTTCTATGTCATTTATAAGAAAATTCTAAATTGTTCAGTTGAAGTTTGTGGGCATAAGGAATCTATTAATGAAATAGAAATAAGTCTCATGAGTGTAGATCATCATTCACTCATCAGATTCACCCACTGTTACTCACGGGATGCTTTTCAAGAAGGAATGCCCCCTAAACTTCAGAAGAACCATATAGTCATGTCAAAATGAAACAGTGATCACAACTGCATATGTTGGGAAGACATTAAACTCTATACTGTTTATTCAACAAGTGGTTGTAAATCAGGTACATTTGGTAGGAGGACTCTCTGCAGTCATCAGTCTCAATCCCTAATGCTATGGCATTTCTCTACTGTAATGCCATTACTAACACGGGATTTATCCTAGACGAGGTTTATTGCTGCCTCCACTTCTACTTCTTGGCAGCTGCTCCAGGACATCTCTACAGTGCTCATGGAAACTCCTCTGTGAATTAACAGCATAAATTTAATCTTGGGCAGTTTATAAATTTCTTTGAATTATTTCATTAAAAGGTCCATGCATTATGTACATTTTTTGAGACTATTGCACTGTATTATAATGTGATTCTGTCTATAAATTATGTTTTATACTAACTGCAGCAGTCTTGCACCACTGGGAGCAAAATACAAATGAAAGGCAAGGAAATAACCATTTGATTTGTAAAGGTCACAGAAAAAAAATAATTGCTGATTACGTTAGCCTATCCCTCATCAGAGAAAAAAGTGCATTGTCAAATGCACCTCAATTTGACACTATTACATTAGCTCAAATTCTTCTAGTATATAATATAAATGGAAGGGCTAGGGGGAAATGGTGTGGAAATTATCCAGATTTAGTTTCAAGGAGAACACATAGGTTTAGTAACGAAACTAGTAGACACATAGGTAACTTAACAACTACATTAAATAACAATTAAAAAAACCCAACAACGTAGCATTGAAAATAATGGAAATTACTTTAAAAGCAACAAACACCCTATTATTACATCATGAAAAACATACATCTTTTCAATAACTGCTTCTTCCCAAACAGATCATTTGGGTCATACACTCAGCTACAACGAATCCAGATAGCCCCACTGAATTCAGTAAAACTCTGTGCATTTACTTCATCTGGTAATCTCATCGCCAGTAGGGAAAACATAAATACCACATACTGTTTTTCTCAGGAGTATTCAGTGTACATTTTTTATGTTTCCTTTATTTATGATTGTTTTTAACAATATGGTAAAACACAAGGAAATTCTTCAGTAAAAACACTTCCAAGAAGTTTAATAAATATTTTCATTCTCTAAATAAACCTGTGGCTTCGGGATTTTATTTCTGTTACCCATCTGAAAGATTAAGTGCGCTGGCAGGCGTGCTTTTCAACTGTAATTCATAAAAAACAACTGATATGCCTAAACTTTAATTATAGACAGCTATGTGACTATCCAGCATGACTCTTTCTGGTTATGTGGCCAAGATTTCTTTGATTAAAAAAGCAAAGCAGAAATGATTCACTCAGGATGTGCACCATGTCATTGTCTAACTTGATTGAATTCTAGATGGCTTCATTCTTCTGACAAATAGATAATATTTTGTCACAACGCAGTGTTAATTCTCTGCAGGCAGTAAGATTTCAAGGGAATAACAATAATTCCAAAGAATCAAGGTAAGCAGAGAGGAGTAGCAAAGGTCAAATCTTTGAGTCAGAGCTAAATCTTGTCGCAAGATTGAGAAGAAGCAGTCCAAAAAAACTTTAATCATACCTTTATATCTATAGGTCAGCTGGGACAAACCAACTATGTGAACTTCACTAATATGTATTTTATCCCCCCTGATTTATTGTATTGTCAGTGCTGGAGTGTAATTCTATTTTGTTCTCTGAAATAAAGGTGTCAGTTATTGATGTGAAATAGCAGCATCCTTGAAAGAGAATAAGTAAGAAGGCTGAAAATCGAGAGTCTGTGAAGAACAACCTAGAGTAGAGAATATTTTCTTTGAAACAAACCCTTTAACAGAATACAAATTCACCTTGGTAGTCTCAGTGATCTGCTAGGGAAATAAATAACAAAATGATTAAACCAAGGTCTATCTCCATTTATAAACAATCCCTCTCTTCCTAGTTTTACTCATCATGACCTTGACATTGCTATTTCTGAATCATGACTCCCCTGACATCTGCAAAAGGAAGACAGAGGCCCATATCATTCATCCACATGCAGTTAGGGATGAAAGCTGACTGGAGCATCAACTGCACGGCATGAGAGGAAGCCACAGCTGCTCTGTGGTACCGGGGCAAACAGTTCACCTAGTGTCTCACGTGGACAGGCTAGTAAACGAAAGCACAATCTCAGTACCCATACTAAAGTTCTTTCAAATCATCTATTACTATTACTGTGCACATACACTTGTGTATAAAAATATATATGAATGTTGGAATAAACTGGAGATACAAAG